TTGCAGGCCTCACCTTGAACTGACAGAGCAGGTAGCTGCCATAGAGGTACTCATGCCGCCCATTCACCTGCAGCACATAGTCCTCAGGCTGCTCCATTGTGAGGTTCTGGTACATCTTGGCCTTCTTCTGGAGGGCACAGGCCATTAGCGCTAGGGGCACATCCTTGGTGGACACCTGGATGGTGAAGCTCTCCTGTGGGGAGGAGGGAGGGTTGGCATGCTGCTCTCAGGCCCATAGGCTTCTGGGGAAAAGGGGCAAGGCCACATGCCTGCCTTTATTGGGTATCCCCAAGTGTGAGCTCTACAAGGGCAGGGCCTGGGTCATTCACTGGTGAAAGTAACAGCAGATACCCAGGAAATACTTGTCCAGTGAATTAAGGGACCAATTCTGCCTTGGTGAGCTTACCTGGTGGGATGCCTGCATACCTGGAAAATGCCGTGTGATGCCAGTGAGTGAAGGGAAATTTGGGGGCCTGGGACACTGGAGTGTCTTATCAGTGGAAGGTTCCCATGGGCACAGCAGCCCATGTGCCACAGCTGGGGCAGCCTCCCTAGGACATGGGCTATGGGCTCACCCTGCTGCCCTCAAATTTGACATTGACCAGCAGGTCTGGGTTGGAGATTTGAGAGGTGTTGCTGTCCCCCCAGCTCCTGGTGGAGGGCTCCAGCTGAAGGGGAAAACTGTATTGCAGCCAGGCCTCCCAGCCCCGCTGCTGCCGGCGGGAAGCCGCCTCCTCGCTGAACTGGCGCATCTTAGTGCGGAAGTCATTCACTTCTGGGTCTTGCAGGCAGTCGAACTCGTGGAGGCCTGTAGGGCAGGAGCAGGCTCAGTGCAGGTGCATGTGGCACCAGCCACCCAGGTGTGCCTACCTTTGCCGATGAGGAGGCTGATCTGTGAGTTGATGAGCTTCTCCATGCGGTCACCCTCACGGGTCACCAGGCGCAGCATGGGCAGGAAGGGCCGGACATCACACAGCCGCTGCTGCTCATCCTCTAGCTCCTGCTGCTCTGCGGTCTGGTTGACACAGGTGAACACGTAGGCCTTGGGGTCACTGAGCATGTGGAAGAGAGGCTCATTCTGGGCTTCGTGCCATAGCATCTGGGAGGAATGGTTGTGGTCAGCCTTGCTGGCCATGACAGCTGCTGGAAGGCAGGCAGAGGCCTCTAGTCTGGGCATCCCACTTTGCATGAGCCACATAGAGGGCAAAGGGAGACCTCAACATTGCTTCCTAGGAACCCTTTGGCCCTTGGGACCAACCAGCTAGTCAGCAAGCTTCCTGTCCCTGTGCTCTGTGAAGGACTTGATGTGTGGAGATTGGGGACTGAGCAGCCATGCCAGCCTTAGACACATTATCTAGGGCTGCTTTCACCCCACCAAGGCAATGGTGGCCTTGAGCCATGGCAGAGCTGAACCACT